AAAATATATGTATATAAATATTTTATAATATTATACAATATAAATTTATATATAAATTAAACCGTGAAACATAAATTTTTTCATTTTTAAGTACGTTAACCAATCGCAGTCCAATTTCATTTTCGTATTCCATGTACATCCGTAACAGTGGCATAACACTTGTTAGTACTGAAAAATAAGTTTCTTTTCTAGAAGGTATTATTTTACAAAATTACTGAATTTTAACGTAACAATTTAAGTGTGATACCTTATTCATATTTGTGTATAAAATTGTTAAGGAAAGTGGCAATATAAGGTTAGCAAGCTATAACTGTATTAACAGAATAAGATTTTATTTTTAAAAATAAAATCTACTATATATTTTCAATCATTTTTAATAACTTTTTCGACATAATTATAATTATTATAGATACTAAAAAATGATGAATTACTTTATACGACGATTAGGATTAAAAACTGGAGATTATCAGAAATATCAATTTTATTTAGCATCAGCATATGCATTTCTTGCAGGAAATGTTTTAATATTGGGGTTCTGGAAGTTAATAAAGGATAAAGTTCCTAATGTTCCAGAAAATAGTATATAATACTTGTTAAATAATTTATAACTATATTTTAAAATTATTATTGGGTGGTATTATATTAATCAAATTTGAAATTCTTGCAGAGCGCCAATACAGAGAGAAAATGAACAGTAAAGGCTACAAGGTAAATTATATAACCATAAATGGATTAACCGCAACTTTTGATTTTGAAGATGATATAAAATCCATACCCAAAGAGGATAGTAAAGTAGAATAATATAAAACTTAAAGGTGGATGTCAAGTGTTTATAACCTATATTTGTTATAATAAAGTAGTTTTCATTATAATAAAATGGAGTTAGAAAAACATTTTATCTAAAAATGTTCATATTTATTAACAGATAGATTTATAAACGCAATTTGGTCAATTCTTTTCATTTGTATTATAGAAATCATTTATAATATACAAAGAGGTTTATTCAAGGAAGAGATTGTCGTAAAGCAATTGCTCCAGAAGTTTCTGGATTTAATTCCTTTAATCTTTGTTCTATTTCGCACAACAAAGCTGACCTAAAAACCAATATTATTAGTCTATATAGTATGTTATATATCAAAGTATTCTGAACAAAGAATATAAGACTCGCCAAACCTGTATTCTTCATAACGCATAACCACTTCTTCTAGTTCCTGTTTATATAATCTAGTAAGCATAGCGTTAAAACAGTCAAGTTCCGGTAAACGGAAGAGTTCCCATCGTAATTTACGATCTAATGCTACTGATGCTCTACTGTATACATATAACCAATGAGGTATTTCTTCATTAAGGTAAGGATTAGCTGGAACTAAAACGCTGTGAGAGTGAAAATGCGTATGACGCGGAGGTGATACAACGCGCACTGCTTGTATTTCGTGAGGATAACATGGATGCTCATACTGTGCTTGCCGTGTAATATGGCTAAAAATGAATTTTTTATAGTAATTTTCACATGTACTTGGAATTTTCAATTATCATAAAACTTACTTAACATAATAAACACCATATTCAGGTGATTCTATTCTTTCCCAACCTGTAGGTAAGCCTTCCTTCTCAAGAGGGTGAGACCAATGAGTGGTTTTTGTATTATGATCTATATAATATTTTCTACCTCTTAGTGTGAAATCCACAGACCATCCAGGAGGTAAAGGAAGTTCTTCTTGCTGTTCATTTCTAGAGCTTGATCTTTCTGAATGGCAACGACTATATCTTGAAAACCCAAACACAAACAAAATATGCATGCTTCTGGTAATTGTAGAAGTATTAAGTAATTAATGTTTTTCTACCCTGTGTTCTGACGATATGCAGAATGATTGTATTCATCATAACCCGAATCAATGTCAAAAGGCTTATAAGGCATTTGTGGCGTTTGAACCCGATCTAAATGATATTCAGATCCAGCATACTGATTAACATAAGTATGAGATATAGCAGGTGACAATCCAGAATGATACATTGGAGTTGCAGTACGAGATGACATGCCATCTCTTGTACTAGTATTAACCGAAAGGCTAGCAAATCTAATTGGACACGTTATAAGTTATATTTTGGCTTTCAATATATCATTATTAATATATTTTTAAATATAAGTTACCTCTGTGCTAGATCTGGAACAGAACTATTAGGAGTATATTTTCCTTCATGACTTCCTAAACCTACTGCACTCATTGTTGTCTTAGTATTTATAATATACACATTGATATTTACCATGGATGTAGGAATAGTTGGATGATTATTACGATTCCTTGTTCTTCTATTTGGTTCTGTTGTCCATACATTAATAACTAAAAATAAATTGTAAGTGTACAAGAAATAAATATAAGCTGCATTTTAACATTTAAAATGATATAGTAACAACAAAACAATAAAATAGTACAAACATCAAAGAAAAAAATGTAACAATTGGACAATGATATGAAACAAGCTTGCATTTTTACTACTTATTTGTTGAGTATGTAACATAATAATAATGATAACTTACTTGGCATTTCAGGTGGAGTTTCTTTTTTAACATATTTACCAACAACTCCCTCTTTAATCGTTCTCAAATCCTTATTTTTTCGGGACAACATAATGAGAATAAATATTTGATCGAATGACAAATCGATAAATCTTCGATATTTATAACCTACAGATGCGATATTATATCCACAGAATTAATGAAAATACACTTTGAATGTATTACGTTTTGCTCAGATATAAAAAATTATCCATTTTACATTTTTATGCAAATCTATTTTAATAACGATTCAGAATTATTTAAGAATTTTAGAATTAAATCACCCACTTGACACATGCATGTAATGTATGTATCAGTCCCTTCATATTCTTTTCCTTCGTTCGTAAAAAACGTACAACTGACAGTGTATTAAATATATCAACAATTTAAGATATTGATATTAATTTAACTTTTTTAGTTTATCAATCAATTTTTTGTAATAATTTAAGATTTTTCAGTTAAAAAAAAAAGATTAATTACACTATATATTTAATATATTGAAAATCATACATGGTAATTCATTTAATGTGTCAATGAATTGTCAATTTGACGTATGTATAAAGTATGAATTTCTCTTTAAGAATAAGAGTTGGTTGAATTTCATAAACTCATAAATTAATAACAACAAGACTCATTTCCATAATTCATTTAGTACGTAATTTTTATCATTTTCTTTTTTCTTTTTAATATCTGTGTAGAGGTATAATACACTGTAATTTAGATTTGTGTATTATATATCTTTTCTTATTTTATTTATGTTGTATTCTACCTTCATATAATGATACTTATTTTCATAACCTATCTCAATCCATCAGTAGTTGGTATATTATGCAATAAAATAATTTAGTTCATGTATTCATTTGTTTACAAGATCGATATTATACATTCTTTGCTATATAAGTTATATGTATATATAATAAAGCACTATATATTTTAATTTTATTGTAATGTTGATGTATTTATGCGAATATAGTTCTGTGAAGTAAAAATTTTGTTACATAATTGAAAAAAAATTTGTCCTCTTTTCGATACTATCCGAAAATAATTTTAATGCTATGTGAAAACTCAGATATCTTGAATCAAGCAATTCGTAAATGTTAAACGACAAAATATTTAAATATATATAGCAAACATTTGTCAATAAAGATGCTTCATTATTTTTTAAAATAACCGAATGTGTTTTTTTATATAGATTTTTTTATAGCATCTTATGTCTTTTTTTTTTGAAGTCTCGTAATAATATTTTATTCTTTAAGCTGGGAAAGAAACATTTGGTTACATTAGAATATTCTATTCGTGTATCTTCAAGCAACAGCTATTTTAGAGTATAAATAATTAGTAACCTTATTCAATTACTGCACTTAAATTTATTATACGAATAGCTAATCATTCTTATGTGTAACATGACAAGGATAAATTAATCAACTTTCATTTATGTTACTCTTTTTACATTCTAAAATCAACTGTACAACTGTTATGTTCCTAACAGTGATTAATATGAGTATCTGAAGTATATATCTATTAAGTCTATTTACAATGAAATCATATCCGCTATAATTCGGACTAATCGTATATATTGAGGTTGTTCACTTATAATTTGCACGAGAAAAGAAAACTAATATAATCGCTAATGATTGCGTTGTAACGATAAATATGTACGATAGACTATCACAGTGTAGCTCGCGTTTGTAATCGTAGGATCTCCTATTGTTCTAATTTTTTGATTATATTCTTTTTGCCGTAAAGTATGGAAGTACTTATTTGCAATGATTTTGTATCCAATTCTTGTAATCATGCTGTCATACAAATGCAGTTTTTACGATATAAAAAAATACTAATATATCGTTAGAATTTCTTATTATAGTATATTTGCAACTGTATTAAAAACTAAGTTAGCCCAAACATAATAATTATTAAAATGCTTCATTACTGTTGAAAAAAAAAAAAAAAAAAAAAAAAAA